CACGTCGCGTCAGTTCACCAGGCACCTCCTCATCCACAGCAGCTGTAAACATCACACAGATATCACATCAAACTAAGTCAATAAATGCATTAGGTATCTGTAGTTTTTGATCTATCAAAATAGTACTAAACTACCATACAGACAGGCTTTACAGCTAAAGTACAAGAATGAAAGAGTGTAAAAAAAAACAATTTACTGTTGCCAATTTAAGGTTGGAAAGCTGATTAATTTAGACCCTCAGAAAACTCTGAACTACTATGGTCACTTAAAAATTGTCCTAAGTTTTACTTTGCCTCTCTACGAGTGGTTGTTAATATACATGTACATATACATTGTAGTTCGGTCACACTGCTAAACCAACTCCAAAAGGAGTCAACCGACCAATTCTTGGCTATTAGGGGTAATGTATTACTTTGTTGGATCTGTTGTTCGTCTGGTGTTCATGTTAGCACACAATCTCCTCCCTCAACAAATAGCAGTAACCATGGAAGAATCCTTTATTGATGAACAGGCTTAGACCTACAACATTTTGTATTAAAGTAAAGTGAAGTAAAGTAAAGTAAAGTAAAGTAAGTAAAGTAAGTAAATTCCTAGATAAACTTACCATGGTAGTTATACAGCAGCGTGATTCCCAAAACTGTGAGCAGGACCAGCAGCAAAACACATTTGGCTTTTACCCTCATTATGTCCTGCAAAGATTAAAACATTCCTAAAATGAGATACAAATCCATTCCATACATTTTGTTATTGTTGATGAAATAACAAATAGACATGACAAATATCACAATGTAATGCACAATGTAGGCTGACGATTTGGATTAGTGTATTAAAACATTCTCAGACAATCATTTGAATATTTTTCATTGGTGTAGGATTCCCATACAACCTACAACATATATTCCTACAACCTCATATCCCTAGTTGAGCCTTGAGGCAGTAAAAAAAAAGTGCCAAATTTGTCAAGAATGACGACGGCAGGCAAAGTAGTTTGATGTTTATGTTTATGTTGCAAGATCTTGGTGGGATCAAACTTCTGAAATGAGAAGGATTACTACAGACCATCTTCTTTAAATCTCATGCAGGATACCCCTCTGTTCCAGTGCAAGACCATCTGCTTCACTCTTTTACTTGTTTATTACCATAAAAATAAGATCGCATTTAAAAATAAGACTTTCTGAAATTAGTTTGAACAACGATTCCTTCAAATGTTAATTTCTTTCAAAAAGTACATTTACAGACTGGAATTTTTACCGCAATCCATATATACCCTATACAGTAGTTTACATTCAAGATCCTGACGTATTCAAGGCTCATGTGCAATATTATTTTTTATACAACACCTACGTGGATCCTTGTCATTTGATTGGAGGATTGTTGGTCACATGATATTCAATAGATGGTATATTGCACGGTCGTGCATTTTTGGTTATATGCGCCGTGCATTTTTGGTTATATGCAGACTGCGTACCTCTCAGTCGTGCGCGCGCGTATCCCTGCGTGTATCTGACGCGAAGGCAATCTCAATGTAATCGAGAAGGCTTGACTCCAACTTTAATTTATCTTTAATATAAGGAGTAAAGCATAATTTGTTGATTAACGTTCTATTAGATCTTCTTCGATGTTGTATAAAACAAATAATGAATGTTTTTCATTCGTTCAATAGTGCAAATATTTTCATTCGTTGAAAGATTAACGTTAATTCTATTCAACTCGGCTGACGCCTCGTTGAATAGAATGTTAATCTTTCAACTCATGAAAATATTCGCACTATTGAACTCATAACCATTCATTATTTGTATACAATAGTATTGTAATACTATTTCATGCGCACGCCCAGTCTGACTCCACCAGGAGTGTCAGGAAATCTTTTTTCTAGAGAAGATGTCAAAAATAAATTCATACTCATAGTACCAATTGATAGTATATTAACATTACTTTGGCTATCACTATTTATGCATTCATCTTATCTTATTCTTAATTCTTCTTACCTTTGAAAGATTGATTTTTGATAAATCAGCCAAAATCAAGAACTTTTTTTTTTAATAACTTTTTCTTCAGCTGTATGAAGGGGTGACCAAAGTTTATGGACATTTTACAAAATGTGATATTTGATCTACGATTTCTCACTTTCTACACAAATTTATTTATTTCAATTATTACCAAATGGACGGCAAAGTTCTTTTTACTACACATTGGTTCAGCTAGAAATTTATCGTCAAAGGATTAATTTCAGAGATATCGCGACCCAAAAATTTGATGTCCGATCATGCGTGCGCGCTGCATCTAAAAAAGTCATAAAAACAACGAGACCTAACTTCACGCACAGGGGTTTACAGTTGATCGAGTTATCAAAAAATGTGATCCATCAAAAATAAGGTAATTTGCAAGGCAAGATATTATACAATCAGTTGATACTATTTTTTACTTACAATTTTGAGGAAATCTGCTTTCAATAAAGATTTTCAGACCCTTCCCATAGGAAAGTGAAAAGTATGCCGCAGACCTGCCGCAGACCTGCCGCAGATCTGCAGCAGACCTGCCGCAGACTTTTAGTCTGCGGCAAAGAGTATGCCGAAGTATGCGGCAGAAAGAAATTTTGCTGCAGACTTGCCGCATACCAGTATGCCACAGGAATAGTCTGCGGCAGATCTGCGGCAGGATGAAATTTTGCTGCAGACTTGCCGCATACTAGCATGCCACAGGAACAGTCTGCGGCAGATCTGCAGCAGGATGAAATTTTGCTGCAGACTTGCCGCATACTAGTATGCCACAGGAACAGTCTGCGGCAGATCTGCGGCAGGATGAAACTTTGCTCCAGACTTGCCGCATACTAGTATGCCACAGGAACAGTCTGCGGCAGATCTGCGGCAGGATGAAATTTTGCTGCAGACTTGCCGCATACTAGTATGCCACAGGAACAGTCTGCGGCAGATCTGCGGCAGGATGAAACTTTGCTCCAGACTTGCCGCATACTAGTATGCCACAGGAACAGTCTGCGGCAGATTTGCGGCAGGGCGAAACTTTGCTCCAGACTTGCCGCATACCAGTATGCCACAGGAACAGTCTGCGGCAGGTCTGCCACAGGAAATCCCATTAAAGTCTAATAGGGCCAACTGAAACCAATCATCTCATGCATATTCATTATTACTTTACACGTGTGACAGAAAAATACATTTATCATGATTTGTTAAGCAAATTAAGACAATGCACATCATTTTTGTGATTTCTATTTTCCTTTTGCCATTATTGTCCAATAGATTATTTTGTCTGATCATGTTACAATTACATTCACGTTTAAGCAATAGATATATTGATTACTAACCAAGAAACTATGATTACTAACCAAGAAACAATATACATATTTAGTATATATATGTGTACGAGCCTGTGTCACTTTAAATGTTACTCTTGAATACACTTCATATGATCAATGTGATGAAGTTAATACAATTGAGAATAGAATATACCTAATTGGTAATATATATATATATATTGGTATTACCTAATTGGTAATATCGATATTGCCAATATCGATTATGAAGTATCAATCAGTTTATCACTGGTTCTTGAAATGAAAGAGTATGCGGCAGGTCTGCAGCAGGTCTATATGAGATATGAATATTCATGACGAAGAGTCTGCGGCAGGTCTGCAGCAAGTCTGCGGCAGACCTGCCGCAGACTCTTCATCATACTGAAAGAGTATGCGGCAAGTCTGCAGCAAGTCTGCGGCAGACCTGCCGCAGACTCTTCATCATACTGAAAGAGTATGCGGCAAGTCTGCGGCAGACCTGCCGCAGACTCTTCATCATACTGAAAGAGTATGCGGCAGGTCTGCAGTAAGTCTGCGGCAGACCTGCCGCAGACTCTTCATCATACTGAAAGATTATGCGGCAGGTCTGCAGCAAGTCTGCGGCAGACCTGCCGCAGACTCTTCATCATACTGAAAGAGTATGCGGCAAGTCTGCGGCAAGTCTGCCGCAAAACTAATTTGCATGTGAAAAAGATGACTGTCTGCGGCAGGTCTGCTGCAGATCTGCGGCAAGTCTGCCGCAGGAGTATGCGGCAGGCTCATTTCTTTCCTATGGGTTGTCAGTAAGTTGATAATTTTTCAGAACGGACGCAAATGATTGCAAAATTTGCTGATCTTTTGTCAATATTTTTACAATTTTTCACCTACCGGTACCGGTAATTCCAAAGAAAATTTCATCTCAGCACTGGAGTCTTGGTAATTTTATGTTCCTCTTTCCATTAGTGATATCAGATTTTCGAAATCTTATTGACTTTTTGAGATAGCGAACTTTGGTCACACCACGTACCATACAGCACATCAGGTCTGACGTTAAATTTGAGATTGCGTTAAATTGCCAACAATAGTCAATAGATTTAGGTCTAAACCTAACATTATTTTGGCAATAAATTTTCCAACTGCAGTTATTTGGAGCCTAAAATTCTTGCTTTCATTTGATAGTTTGGTTTGGGTTACTAAGGTATGCTTATAGTAGACCTAGTCTATAAGTTGTCCATTTGTATGCACAACTACTCATTTACTTGATGATCCTCCAATTGCAAAGATTAGTGAGGAAAGTTATCTTTTTCAGCTTTTTTCCACTATTAAGCATTGCCCCACATATTCAACATCATGTTGGCATCACAAAAACAAATGGGCAAAACAAATTGTTTCCTCATTCTGATATAGACTCTAGGCCTAACTTCGTTTGTTATATTAAAACAAGGCCCCCAAATGTTTCTATTAAATCAATTTTTAAAACAACTACTGAAGTAAAACCAAAGTTCCTAGCTTTATTGAGTTGTTTGCATCTAGCAAGTTACTCTAATAATTTAGCTAAGCACTCACCGAAAATGGATTCCACAATGGATGGACACGTCAAAGCTAAATCAGAAATGTCAACACAAAATTACCGCACGGCCAGGCCATGCGATCGAGGACAGACCAGGGACCGACGGACTCGACGGGGCCTGCACGCACTGCTCTACCCAAAGACGTTTAAATATAATTACTAGACGGAAAGCAGCACGCGCGGAAACCATTACACGAATGGGATTAGGCTCCGCCTCTTTTGGATCATTTGAAGACAAAATAAGCACCCGAGGCGTCTTTTTGATTGGATATGAGCCTCATGAATATGTATTTTATCGATAGTATCGTTTAAGAAACCGGATAATATATTTGACCTCATTGCGTCACTTTAATTATGCAGATTTATGCACGACGCTACTACACTCGCACAAACTGAGAAGATTTAGTTCATTGAGAATGGGTAAGTAATTGATTGAAATATGAGTAGATTAAGTGAATTTAGTCATCAATTTTGAAAAAGCTACAATATTCCTCGTGATCTACGGTAATTTCGTTTCATTTTGAGACAGTTCTCAACAGATTGTTTGGGAAAACACTAGGAAAATATTGCTCTTGAAATTGCACTTTGATTTTTATCGTCATGAAGTAGTTTGACTGCGGTTTGCCGTCATTTCACCCTAGTACTCCAGTTAGGGCCCCGGGGTTTCGGCAGGCCCACCCCGGGAAATTTCGGTACTCATTTGCATCAAGATCAAACTTTCAAATCAGGTTTTATTTCAGATTTGATCGTCATCATGAATCTAATTCACCAATCATCGATTGAATTTATATATAGATTTAACGTTACACCTTAAAATAATCTATGAAGCATGATTTTTTGATAATCCAAGTGGATTAATTCTTGTTAAAATCTTTAGTAGATGTGGACCCTGATTGCTTACTTATCATTAGTGCCATATCCGTTCGCTCATAGTAGTTGCACCATCGGTACGCGGTGCGTGTCAACTTTATTTAGGGTCTAGGCCTAGAATAGGCCTAGACTCTAGACCAAAATTATCTGTGACCATTGATAATCAAACAACTCCAAATCCTATTTCATTGAGATGTAAACCTGGAACTTATTAATAAAATTTTTTTTTTTTAAAACAACACTAGATCTAGATCTAGGATTTGTTAATTTAAGTGGGTCCAGTGTGCTTGTCAAGTTGTCATTAGTTAGACTGAGAGGTCTGTAATATACTAGAGTCGAGACGAATCTAGACCCCTATTAATTTTTAGAGATTTTTTTTCTTCTCCAAATTGTGCAGTTCATGTTGATAAATCTTTTTGTTTTTGTGTAAGAGAAGAACCCTAGTCCACAATTATGTTTACTTATGTAGTCCACCTCTTCTTCTTGTTTTAATACTTGAAACTACTTGAAACTGCTTTATATTCATAGGGCTAGGCCTAAAGCACTTTTTGAGGCACAAGTTAAATCTTCCATTTAGTTTTACTTTGTTCTGTGGTCCATCAAATAGGAATGTTGATTTCCAGGCCAACCATGACATCAAAAATAGCTGTAGGGTCTAATTTTATTGCTAGATCTATTTTATTTTGTTAAGGAGAAAGGGACGCCTTGATTGTCATATTGATTTGTTTTTCTTCTTGTTCCAACAGATTGAAACTGAAGAAGAGCTGGAAGGAGTTAGCTGATGAGTAGACATTACAACATTTTTTATAGTTGCAAGATGACGCAGAAAGTCCCATCCAGGTAAAAAAAATCAGGATATTTAGCACACAAACATAAAACGACCACCTATTAATTCACTGAACACGAAATGTAACTAAGTTTATGTTGCAAGCGTATACAGGGGCAGGGGTGGGTCCAGGAATTTCTTGCCGGGAAGGGGGGGGGGGCACACGGTGGGAAAGAGAAAATAGGGTCTATATATATATATTTTTAAGTCCCAAAAAAAAATCGCCTCAAAAAACGACTCAGCCAGCCGCTGAATAAGTGGGGGGGGGGGGGGGGGGGGGGGGGGGGGGGGGGGGAATAAGAGGACACTTTTGGGGGGGGGGGTTACAAAAAATTTTAATTTGACATTTTGCTCCGTTGGGGGAGGGGGGGGGGTAAGGTCACCTTTTCAGGTAAGCCATTGGCATATTTTTTAATAGTTTTTTTTAAATAGTTTTTTTTTTTCGGGGGGGGGGGGCGTAATGCACATTCAAAGCACTACATGATCATACATGTAGGGTATACACAGGACCCCTCATTACTTTTTTGGAAGTGCTTTCACTTCTTGAGCAATGAAGATCAAGAAGAACACAAAATAAGATCAATGAAAGTCTGTTTATAGGATGTATTATGGTTGATATGTAGCCATTAATATCAATTTGTAATTGAAGTACCTACATTGTTTTCTCTCATGTAGGATGATGCTTCGCTACAGTGGATGATGAAGCCATGCTGGTTTACAAACTCAGGAGAGGAACAAAGAACAGATATTGACGGGATCATATCTAGAGATGCAGGCCTACTACACTTCATACGAGCAAGTGTGCTAATATACAATGTAGGTACCCCCAATAAACTATTGTAGAACACATATCATGCAGAAAGTTATAGATCTGACAAAGATATTTTTCATTGTCCGTTGACTTGTAAAAGAATACTTGACTGAATATCATAATTGCGATTTAGATTAAAAATAAAATGTCAATATAGATGAAATATAAGTCTACATTACGTGTGTTTCAGTAGCATTATTTCCAGCAGAGCACATTCTCTGGTCCAACTTGTTTGGTGAATTTATGTCCCATACTTAACCGAGTATTATTCAATTATGAGCATGAGTTTACAGTACAAGTAAATTGTACATGTATTACTTATTTCATACCTTGCCTGATCCAAGCTCCAGCAGGCCTATTGTCTTAATGGGATCATCTGAAATAATATAAGATGTGGTCAGTATCTAGTCTTGTAGGAAATATAGTTTAGGTTTGCCTACTAGAATCCCAAGTGAAATTCGGTCCTTCCTCATTTTGTCAGAGCAGGTATCAGGGTGTATGTTATTAGTTATTGTTGATTTTCTTATAACACTTGTATCCTATTTCATTTTTCTATTCAACAGACTTGGGTTATCATTACAGCCCTTTCTTCTGAAAACTAGGCTACAACTTTATTGATGGATGCAGAAAACATCTACATGGGACTACGTCTTAAAGATACCACCCTCATATAATGAAAGAGGACAGTAGAGATGGGTTTAAACTTGAATATTTACATGCTATTTATTTATTATTTGTATTATTTGTTTGTAGAATACCACATTTAAAAAAAGCTAATGAATTTATCATCTTGTCAACTTTCAAATAATTAAAGATAACTAATCATCAAGGAATAAACATTAACATTTTAACAATGTCAACTACCATTTTATAGCCGGATGAAACTTAGGGCTGGGCAGAAAGAAATTGCCTTGAAATTTGAGTGATAAAGATCTATCAGTCTATATCAAAGATTGAATTAATCAATGATATTTTAATTATAATTATACATGTTGAAATTCATTTACCTCAGTCTATGGACTTTTTCAAGTATTGTGTGTAAGAAGGTTTGAAAGACAACCCTCTTAATGCACTAAATATGGAAACTGCTAATCATCATTTTGCCTTTTGTATCCAAACTGCTAATTTTAATAGAATCATGTTTTGATACTTCCTAGCTTAAGAAAACAGGGGGGGGGGGGCTTGTTATGCTCTTCCTGGTGCTGTTTCTACATGGACCATGTAACAGGTTGCAAAAGTGTAAACAATATTATATTTGTTATATGTTATATTAAAAGGATTTAGAAAATGAAAACGTTTTGAATTATAGAATTACTGTTGCTAGAAGTAATGGCAGTATTGATGTGTAAGGGAAGGGGGTAGTTTTCCAAGTGAAGTTAACGGTATACTAATGTCAAATTAATTTTAAAAAAAAGTGAAAAATATTCTTAAAAATAAAATTATAAAGGACATGGGCCTCCTAACTAACTAACCCTGGTACTGTACCACTTCTGGGTTTGTTTTCTTTTCTTTTCTTTTTTTTTTTGGGGGGGGGGGCAACCCAATTCAAAATTTCCAGTGTTAAATTCCGTTGTCTTTAAACAAAAATTACGTCAAGATGTTAAAAAACAATGTTTCACTTTCCGTTTTCAAGTTAGAAAATTTGAATAAAATGATTAACATATTTTCCGATCTCTCTGGTCTATGCATTAAAAATGTTCAAAGCTCCTGCAAAGGCTGCAAAAAGGAAAAGTGAAGATAATCCAAGTAAAATGTGGACAGTAATGGAGTGAATATGGAATGGTTGATCGTAGTTGATAACGAGTAAATATAAATGAGTGGTAATAACAACTACGACTGAAAGTGAGACAGAAAGGAACTGCAACAGGTTGTTCAGTCAAGACAACAAACCGTTAGTTGCAGAAAATAATTTACGAAAGACAGAGAAAGAGAGAGAAAGGGAATCATTAAGGTACGATGAGAGTGGGTGGAGAAAAACCATCAACTTTGCCACATAATTTGTTTGTCTATAATAAGGAAACTTTATACATTAGCATATTTAAAATGTATAATCATAGCCAGAGAATGAGTTGTTATATGGCTTATAGCATGTTTGATTTAATAAAACAAAAACAAAAACAGACCCAATTATTGATAGACTAAAAAGGGAATAATCAGTATTTCTTATTCAATGCCAGTTAAGGCCACTCCCCCATACTAAAAAACAACAACAACACAACAACGAGAGGAACTTTAGGTCCACTTCCCGATGCATCCTGGGTACACCAGCTGTTATACTGGTGATCGATAATACAAGTTCGGGCGCGTATTTCACCTAACGGTGATCGTATCAGAATAATCCACGCTGATTCGCTGAATCACTTGCGTTGCTAGCGCGCAGCGTGATGAATAAATTACCCATAATTCCGTACAGTAAATTATTTGACCTCTCTAATTACGCTGATACGCGTATTGTCTTTTACCATGTGGTGAACATCATTCCAGTACACTTTTCGCGGGGAGCATCCTACAGAATGCATAATTCATAAGGCTCATGAATTATGCAAGGGGGCTTATTTTGGCTTCTAATGGATCCGGACAAAATGGTGGAGCTTGGGGGGCCTGGCTCTACCTCGCACGCTGGTAGACCTCAGATACGTATGCGAGCCGCACGACACGGCCAGATCCATGGCGCCGCACCGAAGCCGCCAAGATACCACTGTTCTGATCTAGCCGGTGGTATGGGGTGGTATGGTGGTCAATGCAAGGCGCCATATCCAGAGTCTGGTGTAGCCATCTTCCAATCCTACGGAAAAGGAGTTTATATCCTAAAGCCAATTTTTTTAATTCGCAAATTCTGAATTTGTTATATCATTCTTTTGAGAGTAATATTACCTCTATCAAGGATTGTAAACCCTCAATAACTTATCTCAAAATAGGCCTATGTATACCAGCAAGATGAGTTTATCAAACTATGTCCAAACTTACATGTCAAAAGACTCTGTGGTAGTGTGGTTTTCTCTATGATCGAAGACCTCATTTTTGTGCAAAACAAGGCTGAATAAAACACAAAATTCAAAAGAAAAAGAAAAATGGCTGTAATGTTGCTATTATTGAATATTTCCCATCATACGTTAGGAAACTTGTCAATTATGATTTTTTTTTCTTTAGCATTTTTGGCCCTTTGACAAGTTTTGATACTTTCACCGTGCAAATTCCCTGCAACGCCCTTTAATACAATTTTCTGTATACAGCTCAGACACTACAGTATGAGTCAAAAAAAAGTTTACACCTAGAAAATTGCTTTTTATTTTTAAGATCATCTATGAACATTATTATACAATATACTTCTTATGACAGAGTGTTTTATCCCAAATCATTTGGTATCATTTTTGTGTGTTTGAACTTTCAGACTCAATTGCCACGTATAGATCACTCAAACAGCAGTTCACGTTGCATCTTAGTGCGTGTGGTAGAAATTTCATGAGAATAAACTTGGAGAAAGTTCAAATTTAAGTTGGCTAGCCCCCCCCCCCCCCCCCCACACACACACACACACACACACACACAAAACGTCTTTTCATTTAGCATGACCAGATAGAGTTGCAAGGAAAGGAACTGCATCTAATTAAGTGCGGGTAGATATTGTATGAAAATTGAAGAGAGATTTCGTAAAGTTTAAACTGATTACTGCTTATACAGTGTGTCCAAGAAAAAAACGAAACCGAGCATTATCTATGTTTTATCATAACCTAGGCCTAATCGCAATTTTAATTAATAAATAACACATATTTGTAAAGCTCAGATCCTCCTCTTTCATTAGACACAACCCATAATGATGCATAATGTCACAAATTAGTGATTAAAACAAATTTGAAGAAAGGGTACCAAAAAGTCATTTGGCGAACGGTATCTGAATTTCAAAGAGAAAATCACATTCCTAGAAAGCTCATGTTCATGACACCTAGCTCAATCAGGAACAATTTGGCCAAGAATAGCAAAGTTCTGTTTGGTTAAAGTAATGCTTGCATTTCCATAATTTTATTAAACGAATTCGTTTTCACTGACTGCTTGCCGTAGCAACAAAGAGTTGACAAAAGACTTTTTGTGATTCAAATGATTTATTTCTCATGCAAAACATAATACAATGAACTTAGGTATAAATTATTACAAAAAATATACAAATGAAACGACAGATATAACAGTAATACCACGAGTACAGAGGAACAGAAGCAGAGCTCGTTGAAGTATTAGTTCCTCAAAATTAATGCTGTTTTACAATATATCTTGAACAAAGTATACTTAGAAAATCAATAAATTTAAAAATATGTAGCAAAGAAATTGTGAATTTGGGGGAGAAAACAAATAAAAAAAATAAAAAAAGAGGAAACAATGGATGAAAATAGTAAAAGGCAAAAATTAAAGAAAGGTTACAAACCGAGATTCATGTATATACAGCAGTGCCAACAATGAAGCTGACCGGCGATGGCACATACATTCAATCATATGTATTTACAAATTAATTTCAGCCTTTTTTAAATGTGTATAGACTGGTACTTTGTTTAAGGGATGGATCTATGTTTAATATATCAAAATACACAAGACCGGTGTACATAATTGTTTTTCGTTGACGATCAGCCATGTATGAAGTCTTTCGTCTTCTGGTGCATGGTTTCTTATAAGATGTACATTTGAATACATTAGGGTTAGGGACTTAGGGTTGACAAGTCCTGCATCCACAAATAATCGTATATAACTCCGAGTAGTTATTGTAGAGTAAAACACAATAGTGAAGAAGCTACCTACATGTAATGACACCTTTGATTCCTTCAGGAACGAGTCATTTGGCACATTGATAATTTTGCAAATAACATCTTTTCATGTACCGTTAAAATGGGCACAAAGTGGGAGCATTATGTACATAAGAGATAGGAGATTGCAAACTTGCGATTGATTCGGATCGATCGCAACTCTTTATAAGACGGGGCCCAGATAATAATGTATATTTGTACAGTGCTTGGAGACATAATAGATAGTATACGAAGCACTAGAAAACACAAAGAATTAAATATCAGGTAGCCTGGCCCGTCTGCATACAGAGCCGATTCAGGGACATAAAGTAATGTTCAGCGATCCCGCTGATAATGTGTTTACAGATTGCATTCGATCTTCAAATGGTGGAAGCTTGTAGGGCATGTGGAATTATCCAGGAATCCTATGGTCATTAAAGAACAGAGAGTAAGAAATAAGAGAGATTACACTATAAAGAATCATGCTATTGAGCATACATGACATTTATGACTGATCAATTGTGTAGTGATATATATTAGATACGGATGTTTGTTTGAGACTCACTGACATCTTATTACCTTTAAAGGCTTTGTAGGTTTCTTGACCTTTTCTGCTCTTTTGAGTAAGGCATTTTATTAAATGATTTACAAGAAGGAAAAAAAGGTCATCTTGAACAACTAAAATCTTCCAATACAATTGCTTTAGGCCAAGCACCAATACATATGTACGTGTACATCCAACGGATGCCCTTAATTTATTTCTCCATGCAATTGCAGAATTTTTGTTGTAGCTTTGCATTTTACAAGTGTGTTTGGCCGTAATAAAACAACAGTTACACTTTTATCATCGAACTTTTTTAAAGCAGTCTCATTGTTCCGGCAGTATGTTTTTTTTATTAAAAAACAATTAATACGGCGGTAAATATACACAAACAAACCAGACTTACATCATTTACTTGAACAGTGATTCTCCTTGCGGTTCTTCTGTTCAGTGCGCCTTTGCCTGCTAGTCCGTCCAAGAACTTGCACGCGTCACCGTTGCGTTTTACTGGTCTACATTTCAAGAATCTGAGAAGTAAAACAAGATAAATGGTGGACAAATCATGATAGTATTTATAGATTGATATAATTTGAGGGTAAGTTGTTTAGTTAGAAATATTGATCTCCTTCCAAAAAATTTCAGGCACGTGATATATGCAAGAATTCAAATCTGCTCTCAAACACGTTTACTTAAAGAGAAAGTTACTTGAAATAATAATTCTTTTGGTGATGCAACTTTTGCTTCGAAGACAACTGCCCCGATCTTTATTTTTCAAAGATAATTTTATAATTATGGTTTATAGGGCTACTTTTTTTTAAGGTAAGGTTTAAGGTGGGGATAAGGTTAGTGTTTAGTCCAGGATTGATGTTAGGAAATCGGTTAGTGTTTGATAGACGGTGTCCAACAACCCATTTATAAATTCATTAGTTGAATGAATTCTTTCACTGCAATACATAAAGTCGTGCCCATGGGCAAAAGCTATCCTGGAAGTTTCTCTGTGGAATTTACCTGACCAACTTGATCCGGGCTGCCTGTTGACATGACTTGATGATGTCAATGAGCCCGGTCTCAGACATATGCAAGAACCACACGCTCAATGTCTCAAGGTGACCCGCAACAAGAACTCGTCCGAACTCCTGACCTGCTTCTGTCGAGACACTCCCAAGATCCGATGCAGCAAAGATTGTCAAGGTCTTGAGCGTAGCGCCCATCATCCCAACCGCTTCGATGATGGCGGACATATCTTCTTCTGCGGCGTCATCGTCGAGACGCATGCGTACCTCGGCTTCCTCCACCGCCGGCATACATCGGGATAATGTGCGCAACACCTTTGGTTCGACCCAGGAGACAGATAATTTCTTGATTGATGAAAACTGTGGGAGGCGTTCCTGGGGCGATCCTTCAACAGAAGCGATGTCACGTACGTCTAAACTGGACAGCCTTTCACAGCCTGCAAGACTGTCCAGAAGCCTTGGGGTGAGACAGCTCTTTGTGATTTCAGCTGTTGTGAACTGTGAAAGTACCATAGGAATTTCATTTAATCCATTGAAACCTATCACTTATGCCGATTATCAAGGTAAAAAAGATGTTAAAACATATCGCTAGCATTACATTCATACTTCCAATAAATTACATTTAAAGAGCTTGAACGGTTAAATCGCTGTATTGTGATTTGGGGGGCATATTAATAAGAAAAGGAGAACTTTCATTTCCATTTGTGTCAAGACCAATCAAGAAATTATGAAGAAAAGTAAACCCACATCGAAACTTTTTAATCTGGTGGACCCAAGTACTTTACAATATTGGAATAATATAGTTTGTGTACGTATTATGCCTCTGCATGATTACTCTCTTTCTAAATCTTAAAAATGGATCGATACAAAGTTGGATTCGAGCCACAATAAGGTTGAACGACAGTAAAAGGAGATTATCTTACCTGCATCTTCGTGTCCGTGGGAAGTGATCGGATACCTCTGATCATACTGGCAGTAGTGTTCTCCAAAGACAGTCGACCTCCCCGGAAGCAGTTACTGATGGCATGGGCGACTTTCCCGGTGAGGTACACGGCATCTGCTTCACTGACACAATGGAGTATCACACGGCACTTGTCAGAATGTGTGTAACCCTGATCCTGTACTGCACATCTCCAGTCCAGACGGTTGATATGGCTGAAGATTTCCTGACATATCTGGAAGTTCTTGCTCCCAGCCAAGAGACGGATCATGTTTTCGAACACGATAGTTTTTTGGGGAGAACTCGCTGTGTTGAGGAGAGTCTGAAGGTCCATTCGTTCCTCGAATGAAGAATCTGTCAAGTTCCTCCTGACACTGTGGAATGATGAAAGTGGTTTCATGATTTTCTTCGGCAATGTAGCAAAACGATTTGTTGCAGGAGTGGGGTGCTGAAGGTATACACTTGCGCAGTACTCTTGTTCCCATATGTGGAAAAATTCCACAGATGTCCTTGACAGAGCTTCATGGTCGACATGCTTCACGGGGGTGGATATCTTTGACAGGATTCCAAGCATCAAACCCTTTTCGTACGCATCTGGGCAGTCTTTGAAATCTCGTTCTTCAAACACAAACTTCCCGCTCTCCTGCAACAATCCTGACAAAGCGACTTGACCAAGTGCGTGCAAGATATTATCGAGGTGATGACCTTCACTCGATATTATCATACCCTTAGCCTTTGCGTGATGTAACAAGAATATGTTGAGATTTCGGAAGAGGCTGCTTCTTGTGTTGGCTTCTGACAATGCCTTGACCTCGTGCAAGTGGCAGATCATGGTGCAGAAAAAGGGGACAGCTATCAGTTCACCAAGAAAGTAGTTTGCCCTTAAGAACCTTTTAAGATGGTCTTCTTCTTCTGGTGTGGACCTCGCCTCAAAGTACCTATGGATGAATTGATGAGCAAGTTGTGGTGTGAAACCTTTGCCTTCTATCTTGACATAAACTCTGGATAGATTTCCTTGCAGAAAATCATCCTCCAGGAATGGGCGACTGGTCACCAAAACCTGACAATTCTTCAGGCGCTTGTGCTGTAGGGTTTGGACGAGGCTGTTCTTAGACTTCGTTTCTCTGATGCTCTTGGTGTATTCATCATATCCATCGCAGAGCAGGGCACATTCTTTCTCGTGAAGTCCGATGATTTCCTCGAGTTTTTCTGCGGTAACACCAGGGATGATGCCTAGCAGTTGAGATATGATAGCCTCTCCTAACCCCATATCATCATCAACTTTCCTCAGCTGCAAGGCGAAGAGTGCAGGTATGTCCTTCATTGGAGAACCCTCCACTTCATAGGCCCAGTCATAGGCTAGCTTTGCTATGGCGCACGTCTTCCCGTATCCACCTGGCGCCAACAGCAGTAACCGCTTCCATGGTTCCCCCTCTACTTTGAGGCTCATTATTTGGTTCACAGTCCCTCTGAACGGTTCGGTCCGCATCTCACCCGTCGACCTGTCGTACTGCAGAAGATGCAATTCGGTGTACAGTCGGTCAAATTTGATGTAGTCATTTGGATCCCATGGACGCCGTTGGACTTGGCAAAGGACTGTCTTGTAATGGTTTCTCACTATGTCTATGCAGTATTGGAAGTTCATGGTAGGCGTGATCTGGACGTATAGAATATCTGAAAAATAATTACGATATAATTAAAGAAGTTGTTCTTAGCTTGATGAGGCGTCTTGTTCAATTTAACTTCATTAAAACGCAAAACAACATATCAATTATGCTCATGAATCTTGAAGAGTTTTGCTAAGGATAGAAGAAATGTCTTTTTTATCAGTTGCAGCAAAGTTGTGATGGAGAAAGCTACCTACTTCTATGAAGACTGTTGACAGCTTAAGAAGCTTGTCCCAGTTATTGTGTTTATAGAGACAATGACTTGTACTGACACATCCAGTCTTTGTTTGAAGTGATGATGTTTTTTTGTTTTTTTAATGTGAAGCAATGTGTGCACACGTTGTGACTTTAAAGGTACTATGTCCCATTTGCAGGCCAAATAATGAAAAGGTTACAATTCCAACGGCATTTGAAAGATAATAATAATTTAGAACTTCCCTCAAAACAAAAGGGCTTGAAAATGTCTTTTTGTAGGAAAATAACGACTGTTAGTTGTCGAATCAAATTTAGCGATCGCGGTCGTTTAATCAAATAGTCTGATTTTTAGACCCTTGTAACGAATGGTCATACGATTGTTCTGCGCAAAGATTCAATCGGTTTAATTTTGTTCATTACACGAAGTGGGTTATTGATGTAGACAAAATTAATGCTGATGTACCCTTTACAGCTCATTTTATGTATTTTATTACCAAAGAAGAACAGAAGTAAGTCAATCACTCAATAGTGTCTGACAGTGAAGTCTAGCAATTAAACGGGTTTCCTTGCATAATTTTAATACTAGGACACTGCTAACATTTAAATTACACAGATAAGACATACGTGACATATTCATATTTCTGCTGTTGGCTGCAAATACACTGCCTTTAAGGAAAAGTGCAATCAAAACACCTATTGGGTGGGAATAGAATTGCTCTCATTTTGTCTCTATGTTCTGAGACATCCTGAACACTAAATATATAGAATTAGGAATGGTACATCAGTTAATCCTATCCCTTTTTTCTGAAAATAACGTAAACGAAGCCCCCATGAATAACCTTGAAAAGTGAACCACTATACATACTCGGCTTTGTCCCAAAGTGCAAGTCGGCGAGATAGCAAAGACCAGCCTTGAGGAGCGCTTTCCTCATCACACCATGCTGATCATTGGGTGAAACCTTCTGACGCCAGTCGAAGAGCATATCTTTCGTTCCCTTGCTGGTTTTGTGACCGCTCATGCGATTTGTCTCTTGGAAATCCATGAGTTTTTTGTTGCTGAAACCAAGGGCTCGACCTAATGAATCCGCGTGTTCGTCATGTTCAATCCCATCGGCCAAAGATATCAGAAAAGCATCGCTGAGACCTGTATGAAACCATTGAGCTTCGTTAAATGAACTACAAGAATCTGCATCTGAAGTCTAGCTCAGGCGGCACTGAGGCAAGGTCGGCATGCATCACTCGGGGATAAAATAGTTTTAAGATCTATATACCTACACACCTCGAAAGTTTTTACTTACCGACACATTTCTATCAACTAATCTTGAATTTGATATATTCTAATAGACATATTTAATGCAGGAATTAACCAACATATTTGTAACCGATTCACCTTCCTTGGATAATAGTTACTCAGCCACAATTCTCGTCTATTCCTAATTGTACAAAGCGCCGAGCTAGCGCGGATCTCAAAAATATCTTTAAAATAAGTTTCAATAAGTTTCGAATAATGATTACGGATGGATGCTTCCTGCAACGCAGAATGTATTAATGAATTAATGCATTAACGAAAATATACAAACAAGAAAACATCAATGGGATTTGTGACTAGCAAACGTGGGGGCGTTGGGGCATCATTATGCTGCCTGAGTGTTCATAAATACATTACAAGGAACGCTACGCCTTACGGTTACGCAGAGAAACGTCTTTACAGCCAACGTGCTGTTATATTGCTATTCAAGAGGCTGTTGTCTACACGAATAAGGCAACGATTTACTTTACATTATCATCGCAATATAGGGTAACGTTATTTGGTCAGAGTTGTACCTTTTGATGAGGCAAGGACCGGTGCTGGTGTGAGGCAAGGACCGGTGCTGGTGTGACGCAAGGACCGGTGCTGGTGTGACGCAAGGCCCGGTGCTGGTGTGACGCAAGTCGAAAACTCACCTAATGCAAACGAAAGAAAGTAAAACTACCTTTAAAGATGTGTCTTTGGTATAGTCAACATCGACCAGATATTCATACAATTGAGATTGCGACCATGACAATCGTAGTGGATGCGTTCTGTAGTGGTAGAGCTGGCTTGGTTCTAGTAATTGGAGATCGAAATTGTTGGATAGAAGGTACATGGAAGGGGGTGCCTCTCTTAATTTCTAGGACTTATTTTAAAGTCCAAAGAATTTATTCTAAAGCCAAGGGGGACTTGGATCAGTGACAGTTGAGAGAGAGGGCCATCTTTATCATTTTTTCTTCTTTCTCTTTCTTCCACTCCCATTCGGTCATGGATAAACCACTGGCCCGATGCAATAGCAACTAATCATGTTCGTTTCGGATTGGGTTTCATTCATACAAAAAAAAAATACATACCGAAGCACAAAAGAACGAAATTGAAGGAAAAACAACAAACTAAAATCATACCACTTAATAATCGAATACTGAGCTGCATTAGTCCCGCTTCGGCAAGCTTCTTTCCCAACAGGATCCTTAACGCCTCTCCTTGAAGGAACTGTTCTCTCTTCCACTGTTTGAGAATGGTATAGGCTGGCCTTGGGTTCTCGCGATGGATTCGGTCCAAATCAACATCGCCCAATCCTAACGTCTTCCCGAGTGGCCTGGTGTCTGACAACCCCATGTTATTTGCAAGGGCGCTAAGCTCTTCATCTAGAAGTGGATTGAATTGCCCCGGAGAAGCCATGATGGGACTTGACACTAATGACACGGTGAAGGGGAAATTCGAGAGAAATACGACATTGTATTAGGTCATACATTTTTGACGTGCCATATGATCACTTTATATAGACATAATGTACGCAAGGCACGTATAAAACGTGTGACCCATATTTATGCATAATTATTAAAAAAAACGTTGGATTTAAATAATGAAACTACTCTTCTTCATCGCTTTTACGTTAATAACTGCGTATAAAACGTATAGTAGTTTAGTAGATTCCCTATTAAAAGTTATAACGTGTGTGGTCTTGAATTATATTTTCTCTCAAGGAATAAGTAATTATCCTGTATAATAATTAATTATTCTTAAATCTGCTGTCATGGATGACTGAGCAGGAGCCTGATCAAAAAGTGTTGTCAAATTCCCCTTGTACCACGTTTGGGTTGAAGCTATGAATGTGGGTCAAAAGCCCTTTCGGAATGTTATTTCAGTCTGAAACAATTACTGACATATTCGCATTGATTTGGTTAAACATTATTTTGAATAGAAAAAGTTACATTGTCAACTCATACTCAGGGACATGATCATTTAAAACCCAAATGTATGATACTCTCTTTTTCTAAAATCTCATGATATTACAATCTCGACTTCCCTCGCATCCCTTGTTTAAAGTGAACCTTGATATTTAGTCATTAAAAATGGTCAAAGTTTAGTTGGAACGCTTTTTTTCATCTTTTTTCACGAAAGCCTATCTTATCAACATGTGCCCTTATATAGTAGCAATCACTTATCTTTGAGGAAGTACTAGTAAACCTCTGAGCTTCCATCTGCTGTTCAACACAAATTTAGCTTCAAAAGAGAGCGATTCGCATAACTAACTCAAATCATATATCACACACGGAACCTTCATTTCATCGTTTAAAAGCAATAAAAATAAATATATTCTCATAATCAACTACCATCCCTATTTCACAACACTTACAGTAAACTCAAACATTCACACATATCCCACCCGTTTTTCAACAAATTATCATTTTATCACATTTTTCACGTATAGGCCCTACAATATCTTCTTCGTTATTCAGTTTTTATATTTGAAAAAATGCAGAAATAAAATAAAGTAAAATCAAATACCGGATGCACCTCGCGCATCTTTTGAATTAGAATATGTCATGAGGCAAGAAGTTAGCAAGCTGTAAAGATAATACAAAGTTTTGGTATGGGGTCATGAATTTGGTTCAAATGAAGATATTGGTCGCATATGCGATCCTACAATATTCAGTGATCGTTGTCGCGGTTGAAATCGAGTCTAAAGTTATGAAATTGTAAATAATAAACTCTTTATGTTGTATAGCTCCCTCCCAAGGTCAAGATATTAATTAAGCTACATAACAATGTTTCTTGACTAAAATCTACCGATTAGCTATTCCCGTTTGGAAATTATATATCACAACTATATTCTGAGATTGTCATGGTCGCAGCTACCATTGTACGGCCGTAGGCGCTATTTGAAATTTATCAAAATTTACCGGGAGCACCGGTAAATTTGTTTATTCAATTTTTCTCGAAAGCAGAAGTAGATAAGGGGCTAAATTTTCTAGTGCTTATAATACACCCAAAGGGGCATCCAAATATATCAAAATTGTAAAGAATCACTATCCACCCAATTTTCAAAATTTCCCAAAACTTTGTACTTAATCAACTGGATTTAAACAAAGTCCTGTGAAAGCTTACATATAGTTATTGGATCATTTGACAGGTACTCTTTACCACAAATAAATGTCAAGTTCGCATTAGCATTAATCCAAGACTAGTAAAAACAAAATACGTTGAAAAGGGCGACTGATTTCATATAGGTGTCTTGTAAATTGGACCGAACATCGGCATATTTTCACGCAAGGTCGTGTAACCCGACAACGTGGCACGAAGCGATTGCCAAATTAAACGAAACAAGTCAGACTACCTTTATATTAGACATCCACATCGAACGGCCCTTTTTGCGCGATGTTCAGTCGATTGTATATTTTGACAACTATTGTATTGAAATCAGGACAATTGAAATTTGTTAAATACTGCTGTTCCTCGTAAACATGTTTGTGCTGACAGCACGATGGGGGTAGTTCAGAGTAAAAAAGGGAATTCCCCTGACGTAATCATATTTCGAAAAGTTTGAATTTGCTGAATGCCACTGAAACTATAATGACAATAGTTATGATAATAACAAAGGAGTCGTACATGTATGTAGCGTCTATGAGTGGTAAATTTCCACTTCTGGCGCGCCATTATCATTACCTCGACTTTTAGCACGGTTGCCATAGCAGTTCTTCAAGTAGGCCTATTTCAAGGAATTAATTCCTGCCAGGTATACCTATTTACCGCACTTGTATGATTTGGTTGAGCGTTGCCAATGTAGACTAATGTCTGGTCAAGGACATTCTTGCTGCGACATATCATATTTGGTAGTGCACATAATTAAATACACAAATCTATAAGACTAAAATTATACATTATTTATATAACGCGCAGGTTAAATTTTGAACGCATTTTAAATAATTTATTTAACGATATTCGGTAATCCTCGTAAAACAAACCCCAGCTTTTTTAAGTTAAAAGAAATAGCATTGCAATGATTAAATACAGTAATAAATGTTTATCTGCAATTTTGTTTGTAATCGTTGAAAACTAAAGTAATGTTCATGAAAATCAAGAAGGCATATTATTTGGCAAATTTAAAATGCGTTATTACGCTAAACCACGAATCCCGGCCACGTATAATGTGCTCGTAAAAAAGAAATTTCACCACAGTGTTCATTGTAGAATTACAAGTTCAGCGTTTCTTATCCTGAATGTCCTAGCCATTCATTAGTCATTAAGCAATGGCGTATATACAGGGGATGCGTAGGAACGTGCCCCCCCCCCCCCCCCCCATCGAATGACGAGAAGGACAGAAATTACCACAGACACGAGGCGAAAGGAGGGAAAAACCAATGTCAAAATAAGGTGATAGGACTCACTACACACGCTTCTTTCGCTATTACTCGCATCTTCCTTTTATTTCCAAGCCCCCCTCCCTTTCCACGCAAGTGCCCCTAAATGGCTGACCCCAATGATCATAAACAACTACCCTAAACTAAAAATACTAAACTAAAATAACCTAGTTATTATATTATGGAGTACCGAAGTGCTAATGTCATTATTCGCTCGTTGTCCAGGTTACTGGTTCTAAACAACAGAGCCTGCGCGTAAGGTTCACCGCGAAATCATTCAAGCAACGGGCTGGAGCAGAGCAAATTCAATGTTCTGGTTTGGATTATCACCACACTATTGTTAAGTACAAAATTAGTAACCTTGAGAACTTGGCCAGTGCGACGTCACGCTTCGGTACTCTTTACTTTTTTTCAAAGAAGTAAATACTTACAGGTTTTAACTCCAGATCTCGAATTCACATGTCCATCAAACAGGCTGAAATCGGTGTTTCATTGATGTTACTTTGGCATTCCAAACAGTCTCATCAACAAACGTTTACGAAGAAACAGACCACCTGTTTGCCGAAGAATCGGTTTTGAAGAAAAAATAAAATTAGCTGATGATTGGTACTAAGAAATAAGGCGCGGGTAGGCTACTTATATAACTTCAGGATGACCTATTGGTAGGATAAAAACCTTACCAAGTGGCGCCCTGGACTGGTTTTAAACCCAGGACATTTAAAACAAAACAAAAATCTCTGTTCCGAAGCACCAACGTTCTTCCGAAGTCAAAAGAGTTGTCGGTGGCTGTGTAGTAGGGCGCTTTAGTAACGAGACGGAAGGCAAAGAGGACGGGAAAATTCACTCAACTGAGATCAAATAATGTATGCAGTTCGGATTCTGTCTATTGAAATACTATTATTCTTATCAGGTGAATGAAATAATTTGTATTGAAGCACTTCACAAAGACTGACATTTTCACGACTTTTCCTAGACTTGTAGCCAATCATAATTGCATACTTGCAATCATAGGCCCCTCTAATGATTATTGAGTTATCCTGACCACGCCCACCTTACACCAACCTCATCGACCCTTTAAGGCAACATAAACATTGGGAGCTAGTACGCCACTGGCCCGGTTGAAATTATCTAGGCTGTATACAAAGAGCATTATTTTGTCAAGGCTTTCGCAATCATCTCGCAAAAATCCCCTCGCCTTCTCCTTTTCTTCTGAACAAATGACTATATTTAGCTTACTAACGTGCCTCGTCATTGACGTCACGTTCCGCACACATCCCCATTGTCATCTGAAGATCGAGAAGTCGATAAAGAAAAAAAAACACGAAATTTCTCATGACTCATCATTCTCAGTGCTTGCGAAACATCTTTTTTAGAATCATCATCATTGTTTAAATCATTTAATATGTATATATTCAAAACGATTGCTTTTCAAACACTGCATTAAAATCATGATTCTGAAGTATGCATAAATTCCCATACGAATCACCCAAATATCTCAGCCAGTCATTACAAACAAGTTGTTTAAAATCCATTTGGAATAATACCGACAACTCTCATATTTTTGCGTAACACGTGTCTTTCTCAATCTGAATAACAACACGATAGCAAGACCTTCGAGAAATCAAATCAAGGGTCATTTCAGTATACCCCACTTTATATCTCATAGTCTAGAAATTACATTTGGATTATATCCGCAGTTTGTATACCATTGCCCATAACGTTTGAATAATTATTCTTGAATATCTTTTTAATTAAATTTTGTGACAATTTGTTTCATATTTGATTAAAAAGTTCAGTGTGTTCTTGAAACTGTATTGATCAATTTCAAGAGTCATAGAGATTGATCATAAAGTTTGAGAAACTATTAATGAAAGATAAACACCTTTTTTTCACAATCCTTTCATGAAAAGAGGTAAGAAAAGATTATTTCAACTTTATGGGCAACGGTGAAAAATATTTTTAGCTTGATATTTTGTTCAGTAGGTCTATAGTTTGTGCGATCATGTTTAACATGCCCATTTTTAAAATTTAAAAACATATTTTTTGTATAATACAAATTGTTTAATCGGATCAAAATATTTCTTGTAGGCAAATTAAAATGATTTTATATCAAATAATTTGATAGGCCTGCTTAATTTTGCCATGGTATTAGGGTATAGGTGTAGGGAATTGGAGACCGTATTGGAAACCACCAAGCTTGAACCCATGCTTGTAACTTTACCAAGACTGGGCCAAATTCCTTTGATGATTCCAGAACCTTGCAGTACACACCAATACTTATATACTAGATGATCAACCTTTTCTAGTCGATTCCTTTCACAATACAATCGCATGACCAGAACTGGTCTATACTTTTAACAGTAAATTAATTAAAACACCAACACAAAGATTAATTCCCTATACATACAAATGTCCCACTGAGTGTGATTGTTTTTTTTTTATTCCTACAGAGTTTGGTATAGTTTTATTTGCGATATACTGTATGCTTTATGAAATACTATAGATTATTATTTGTATGAAGGGTTTTGAGCCAAAAACTAAATCGGCACATTTTGTGCTCTGAACATAAGTCCCCGGATGACTATGCAGTAAAATGTCAATATCTCATGGATCGCCCAGAGTGCAAGAACGCGTAAAAAAAGTGAATATATACAAGATTAACATAATTTCTTAATATGATCATTTTAACATTTCTAATACTTTCTTAACTTCTTCATTATCGAAGTATCTTATATTTTCTTTGTATTTCAAATAACATTTTAATGATGAAATAACATCATTTATTAACCTCTTTGGATTAGTTGGTACTTCCCCAAAGTTCCGCTTTACATAGTCTTGGTATAACCAGTTGAGCATAATTTATCAAAAAAATAAGTAAAGTAAATTTTCTGTTATCTATTTTATATCCAATCAATAACATTTTCATATCAATTTCAATTTCTATTTCAAATTCTAATACGTGTCGGAATAAGCACAGGCTAATCAATGGCTGTAAGCGTGCAGCATTCGGGTAATCTGCGCGTTAAATGTGCACAATAAAGTCGATAATACACAAACATTAGGATGTAATGGTCAAAACTAAGATACTAGGTTTCATACAATTAGTAATAATGATATTGAATGGGTACATAATTGTATTTGTTTTGAGAGTATTTAATTCGTCAATGAACGGGGTTATATTAATATTGTAAGCGCTTCGGTCGGTTAACTGATACAACGCTTTGTAAGATTTATAGTACTTCGTAGTAGTATAATATATACTACTACTACTACTACTACTACTACGTAGTAGTAGTAGTAGTAGTAATAGCAGTAGTAGTAGTAGTAGTAGTAGTAGTAGTAGTAGTAGTAGAAGTAGTAATAGCAGTAGTAGTAGTAGTAGTAGTAGTAGTAGTAGTAGTAGTAGTAGTAATAGCAGTAGTAGTAGTAGTAGTAGTAGTAGTAGTAGTAGACGTAGTAGTAGTAGTAGTAGCAGTAGTAGTAGTAGTAGCAGTAGTAGTAGTAGTAGTAGTAGTAGCAATAGTAGTAGACGTAGTAGTAGTAACAGTAGTAGTAGTAACAGTAGTAGTAGTAGTAGTAGTAGTAGTAGTAGTAGTAGTAGTAGTAGTAGTAGTAGTAGTAGTAATAGTAGTAGCAGTAGTAGCATTAGTAGTATAAGGCCTACTAGAAGTAGAAATAGTAGTATCATTTTAATTAATATTATTATTATTACTACAATTATTATTATCATAACCGTGATATTTAAATATGAATGTACTCGGTGTATATAACTTGTATATATAATTGAATCTTTATCAGTTGCGAATAAAATATATATTTGGTATGTTATTCGTGTTTATTTTGTCTAGTCGTTTTCATTTTATCGTTATCAGATCATGAGATGTGTCATGGTAATAAACAAACAAATACAATTTGTACAAACAAATAGACGACACAAAAATATTGTAAGATCCTTAAATTCGTAGAGATGTTATACTTCAGATTAGTATTTTTGTAAATTCCTTTGAAGTTCACATTCTAGTCACACAATAATATAATAATAATAATAATATTGGATATTTATATAGCGCACATATCCACCCTGCAGGGTGCTCAAAGCGCTCCAATATTACTCTGGCTCTGCTAGGCTACCGATGTCGGTGCTCACAGCATTCAAGGAATTACTTCCTACCGGTCCCCATTTACTTCACCTGGGTGGAGTGTGCCAAATGTAGATCAATGTCTTGCCAAAGGACATTAGTGCCTTGTAATATTATAAGGAGCAGATCACATTCAACAAATAGATACTTCAACAGCAGATAACTCATTTTGATTGACCTATTCGAGGTTTTCCTCACAGGGATTGTTGGTGTGATCAGCTGTCAACGATAATTATCTTTTGATACCTGAACTGCCCCTTTTTTCGCATTTGCACAAATATATATAAAACAAACAGAAAGCAGAAGTTGAAATGAATGTCGAAGAATTTTCATTCAACCAAAGACGCGTGTTCGCCCATTGTTTTCACTTTTGATTACCCTGCGGTCTTCTGAAAAAAATGAGTCACCCTCACATTTCCCCTTTTTAATCATGTGATCAACCACGTGATTAAAGCGAAGCTTCGGTTTCAATTTGGTCTTCAATCGTTTCAGTCCTCCATCTGTCGATCCAAGGAGCTTCAATTCATCACCTGTCAAAAACATTAAATATTAATTGATCATTATCATTGGGGAAACCTCTACGTTAGCTACAATCCAACATCGTCTGCGGTAGCTATTCATTTGCAGGTGTCTATCAAAACGTTATCCAAGCAGGTTTAAAAGTGATGGATTGTCAGTCCTTGTACACTTTTAGAAAGAAAAATTTAAACATGACTATTGAAAAGAAAAAACAAAATTCCTTATATTTGCAATTGACGAAAATTCGCTATATATAAAAGAGCCATCAGTTAAGGATCTCCTTTAGAACATATCTTCTTGGAAGGATATACTCTGTCACAGGAAACTTGTGCTGGTGAAAATGGGCGTGAAGAGTTTTCTCGTTGTTAGCGTCTTTTTCTTCGTCATCATCGAATGTACATGCCAGGATATATACGCACAAGACATAGATGGTAAGTGTTAGTTTCCCGATGCTATTTCATTTATAGTTTGATTTCAGGGCAACTCCAAGCATTATTGAATAACATTTCCACACAGAGTTTTTCAATTTTGACTCCCCCCCCCCCAAAAAAAAAAAAAAAAAAAAAAAAAAATCAAAAAATCAACAAAAAAAAAAAAAAAAAAAATGACTATTCAGACATTTTTATGAAATCTGAAATTTTACTAAAATGTACTTTCACAAAATGTTGATTGCCAGTCAACATATTCATCTACTTTAAAAGCATCGTTTAACAATGTTCAAGTTTTACAAATCTGAGATGCATGGCCCAACGTGTTATCAGTGTCTGTGGTATGGTGTAATATTGAATCCCTAAAAACATTGCGCTTTAAATTGATCATGAAGTGCTTCAAAAAAAGTAACAAATCTTTGAGTGGCCGGTTTTACAATACTCATTTTCCCCAGTAGACTATAGTGGTAAAACAAACTGTTCAAAACCGTTTGGCAAACAGTTTTTGAAATATCTAATTCCAAACATAAATATCTTGATAATCAAACAGGCGATCGGCTTGTAAAAGTCATGGGACTCCTTTTGAATATTACTGTAACGCCAGTGGAAACCAAATTTCTATGTAACTTGTTTGCAAAGACCAAATAAAATATCATGTATCTTGTATTGCATGAATCAAAGGTTTGTAATTATGATTGCAGCATGAACTAAATCCAGTATTTTATTTAGAATCTGAGGCAAAGATAACACAATCCCTTCAAGGAATACGTAAAAGCTCATTTCGTAGTCATTTCGTAATAAAGCTATATAAGATTTGTTATTAAAAAAAAAAATGATGACTGGTTGATACTCGATAGGTAACCACACGGTTGTGAACGTGTCTCATGTTTGCTTCATCAAAAGATTTTTTTTGTAGAAATATATTAATATGTCAACAATTTTTGTAATCAAATTTTCTCTTGAAATGTCTTTCCATATTAGCGCTTGGAATTTCCTTTCCCTGTTCATATACAAGTTACTTTCTCGTAATAATCAAGTTGATATGGCATAAATGATTACAGCGCACAAATATGAATAGTTTCATCTCGTACGTAACAAAATGGATACAACATGGATGTACCATTTTGGTATTGTTTACATGTTAGCATTGATGAATA